GTTAAGATTCTGACACTGAAGAACTACACTGTCTACCGCCCTTTCATTTCTGTCTGTCTGGTTTTTTTTTTACTCCTCACCTGAAGATATTCTTCCATTTATCTTCAGATAGAGTAGGAGAGAAAAAGAGAAACATCAATCGACCAGTTGCCTCCTGCACAACCCTGACCAAGGCTGGGGTCGAACTGCAACCGAGGTGCATGCCCTTGACCGGAATCGAACCCGAGACTCATTGGTCCGCAGGCCAACGCTCTTAACTTCTGAGCTAAACTGGCCAAGGCTCTTTCTTTTGCTTAAAAGATAACCATCTTGATTTTGTTATTTTAAAATGTTTTTATTGATTTTTTAGAGAGTGAGGAAGGGAGAGAGAGACAGAATCATCTATCTGTTGCCTCCTGGACACCCTATACTGGGGATCGAGCCTGCAACCCAGGCATGTGCCCTGACAGGGAATCGAATTGAGACCTCTCAGTCCATGGGACATCGCTCAGTCCACTGAGCCACACCAGCCGGGCAGAAAACAACTATCTTAAAATTAGGTTCCAAATGCAAGCCACAGAAACCTAACCCCGCCCAGCTATGTCCAGGGCAAGACCAGCGCATCCACAGAACAGGTGGGGCGGCCCACACAGCTGGGCGCTCAGCAGGCACAGCCTAGCGTCTGTCCTAAACTGAAGATCAAGCCGCTCTGACGTGCCAGCATGTGGGTCCTTGGGTGGGGGGCAGGCACCAAACGGGCCCAGGCACCAGCTCCCGTGGGCCGGTTTGTCCCCCTCACTGACCGGCAGCCAGGAGAGAAGTGGACCGTGCGGCAGTCTGAGCCGCACAGAGGAAACTCCGGTTCCCTGTGGCCAGGAAGAGAGGGCTCAGCTGCCCAGCGTGGCTCTGTCCTGTGCTTTCAGGAACTTCTGTGATGCCCCAACTATACCTTTTGTCACTTGAAAACCTTCTGAAATCCACTCTTCTATTGAAAGAATGAAAGGAAAGGGAAGGTCAGCTGGGCCCCTGTCTTTCAGCACCTGGCCGAGCACGTGGACACGCCTCAGCTGGCCTCCAGCTTCGAGGCCACCATCAGTAAGTTCGACAAGAACTTTTCAGCCCATCTACTTGACCTCCTGGCCCGACTGAGCATCTACAGTACCAGTGACTGTGAGCACGGCATGGCCAGCGTCATCTCCAGGTGGGTGTGGGAAGCTTTTCTGTCTCGAGCACTGTCCCTGTCTCCACGTGATGGCGAGGCCCAGGCCTCCCTGCTGGCTTCCTGCTGCCTTCCCTCACCTTCACCCGCCCTCGGGTCGCCACGGAGAACGGGAGGCCAGTGTGTGAGGGCATCTGTTCTTGACCTGTGCTTCTGCTGGTCCCGCATCACTCCCCGAGGTGACACCATGCGTCTGTTTCCTGGGTGTGCGTTCCCCAGTAGTGGCAGGCTGCCCGCAGTGCCCCCACCGTCAGTCTGTCTGCCTAGGTCAGCCTTGTTTACCACTGCTCCCTGGGCCAGGACCCAGGACATTGGAAGGACCCCTTTCATCTCCTGGGTGCCCAGCAGCAGTGTCACCCCAGGGTCAGATGAGCAATGAGGAGGTAGCTGGGGGAGGATAGGACCAGAGGGATGTCCCTGCCACCGAATGCAGCTCTGACAATGTCAGCCGGCCAGGAAATCACTGGAAGCAAAGTGTGGGTCAAGGCAGCACTCGGTATACTTGCCGTGTGTGGGCACTTGGGAGTGTGCCTCGTGATTCTGAGCGGCTAGTGTGCAGGTCCTGTGGGCTAGCAAGAGTTGACAGAACCGGGGAGGGCCCAGTGGGCAGGACAGACCTACATGGAGGCCACCGGGCAGGTGGGCCGGTAGGGGTTTGTGGTTCTGGGCTAGTGGTTCCTGCTACCCCACAGAGCCTGCCAGCACCCTGGTGCCCGACTCCCTGCAGCTTCCCACAAGGAGGGGGCTGTCCTTGTCCTGGGAAGGTGCCTGTTGTTTGATGACCTCAGGTTCGTCTGAATGTTAGGACCACCCAGTACCCTGTGCCACCCACAGGCATCCTGGCCATGGGGTGTGGAGGTGTTCTCAGCCTGTGGCACCCTTGGGCCCCTGCTTTTGGGCAAGACCAGGTGACTGGAGAGCCTAGTGTCCAGGAGCTGAGAGGGGACCGGCGCTCTGCTCGAGACGGTTCTGCTTAAACGTCTACTTAGAGATCTCAGTTGTCTTGCTTTTGGTTTTCACGTTTTTATTCCAATCTCAGTGTTACTTGAACTGGTGAAGGCTGTGTGGAACCTGGGGCCTGTGTTTGTGTATACATGTCTGTGTGTATGCACGTGTGTGTGTGCATGCTGGTGGCCACTGCAGGGTGGGTACCCCACACCCAGGCATCTGTAGAAGCAGCCCCAGCCCCATCCTCACCCCATAGGCTCGACTTCAACGGCTTCTACACAGAGCGCCTGGAGCGCCTGTCTGCAGAGAGGAGCCAGAAGGCAGCCCCCCAAGTGCCCATTCCACGGGGGCCCCCGGCACCAGCACCCAGGGTTGCTGTCACCGCACAGTGAGGCCCTCGGAGCCTGTACCCACCACAACTGAAGGAGGGGCGTATCGGGTTGGTGGGTGCTGTTGCAGATAAATGAGTTCAGGGTTTCTAATAAAATATTCCTGAAATACATGTGTCTTGTGTGCTGTTACCATAAGTATAAAGTCTGAATGTTGTCTGTGCTCAGCTTGTCTTATTTCTCAGGGCTCAGAGCAGCCTCCCAGACCAGAGCAACGTCTCCACAACGTGCTTACCTGTGAGCTCGCTAAAGTAGAGCAGGGCACTGTGGGAGTGTTGTTTCTTGGCCTCAAAGAAAGACAAAGTGCATTTGAGCAACATCAAGGTAATTGCCAAGATGCTTTGTAGGGGGTGAGGCTGGGGCTGGGCTCCCTGGAGTTGGCCAGAAACCTTCAAACCTGAGGGCTTGGGTTTGCTCCTGGCACTAGGGGGCAGCAGCTCCCTTGGCCTGTAGGGAGTTAGTCAGACCTATTGCCGCTGTGTCTGAGGCTTCTGTCCCCTTAGGACTGCCCATGCAGGACCACCAGAGGTGGGGGTGTGCCTGTCCCATCCCACTCCACAGACCTGTGGCCTCCCTGTCTGGCAGTCACCTGCCCTCCCTGTTCCTGTCTCCCCAGTTTGGCAGTGGGTGGCACGCCAGCCCTGGGTATAATGCTGCCGTGAACACCTCCAGGCCACTCAGCTGGATCGCATGCGTGTCATTTTTGAACCACCTCCTCCAGGTGAACCCCCTGGCAGATGAGGAATGAGACACAGAAGCAGTCTGGGTCCACAGACAAGGCCCCCTTGGGGTGTGGGTGTGAGGGGCTCAGCCTGGGCTGCTGCCCTACAGGGGTGGGCAAGCCACAGACTCCTGCAGGTGGTACAGCTGTGGTCTGTGAGCAAACAAGATTACTTGCCAACCCACAGTGCCAGTCACGGCTTTATGCAATGTGACTGAGCAGAGGAACCCCGGTTCTCTGTGTGGGGCCTACTGCCTAGCCCCGAGGTCCAGATACCCTGTCCCTGTCCTGGGCTGCACCTCCAGGCTACGGGGGTGACGCCTAGCAGCACCTGCCAGTGGTTGATGCGGACCAGGTAGGTGCATCCTGTGGGCTGGGTGGGGTTTGTGTCATAGGAGAGCTCTGGGCCCTTGTGGTCCTGGCTGCTAGTATGGAATCCCTGTCCGTGAGCTGCAAGCAGGTGTCTGGTAAGCTCCCTGTAGAGCCTCCTGGTCATGGCAGCTTTTGTCTGTACAGGACACGCTGCGTTTAGATGTTTGCTGTCAAACATGTGACTAAGGAACAAGTAAAACTGCTGGAGAACTTGGGGTTCACATGGCTTTTTAAATTTTATTTTTTCTTCATTGATTTTTAGAGAGAGGATGGGAGAGAGAGACATTGGCTGGCTGTCTCCTGCATCCCCCTCACTGGGGATCGGGCCCACAACCTGGGCATGTGCCCTGATCAGGAGCAAACTGGCGACCTCTCGGTGCATGGGTCGACGCTCAACCATTGAGTCACACTGAGCCACGCACATGCGGGCCACATGGCATTTATAACAGTCATGTGTAAGCTCAGGGACAGGAGCCCCACCCCAGGTGCAGGGCCCACGCCTTCCCTGTCATCTTCCAAGATGCCCCAAAGTCTATGCCAGCCTTCCTGCCCTTTCTGTGCATTCCCTTTGGGGGCAGTAATGGTCCAGTGAACTTTGGTCTGGAAGCTGTGGACACAACCTCTCACTTGTGTCCCTGGTGTGTTCTCAGGGAGTATGTCCAGAATGTGGGGCAAACCCACGAGGTTCAGCTGCAGGAGTCCTGGAGTTCTGGGTGACACCTGCCTGGAGAAGCCTGTGTCAGGCGGGAGTGGGGCAGCCCCATCTGGCAGGATAGGGAGGGCAGGAAGCAGGGGGAGGGACCGGCAGGCGGACTGCCTCCCAGAGCAGGCCTGGGTTGACCTCCATGGACAAGGCCACTGGGAGGCAGCCTCTGCACAGAGCAGGGTCTGTGCCCTTCACCCCAGTGAGACCTCTAACGCCAGTTCAAGCAGGACCAGGGCAAGGGTGGATTTCATGCTGCTGCAGAAACTCTGTTCAGGAAGTCAGGGTGTCCCCACCTTCCTCGCCCCCTCCCCCAGATGGTCTTTCACAAGTCACTTTCCCCACCAAGGCCCAGCCTTGCAGGGAGGGGATCAGATTAGTCTGTTCACCTCCCTCTCCCTTAATTAGGTCCACATTTATGAATCTTTTCCCATGTGCTGGACCGCAGGGACATGGTCCAGGAACCCCCAGGGGACCAGAAGTAGTCACAGGAACACCAAACAGAATCAGGTAGGAAGGACGCAAGGGAGGGGCAGGGTGCCCTTACCAAGGTGTCTCCGGCCCCGCCCCTCCTGTCTTCCAGAGGAGGGCGGGTCGCAGTGAGTGAGGCTGGTGCCAGGGCGGGGCCCCAGGGAAAGTCTTAGCCTCCACTGGGACCGGATGTGTCTGAGCGCAGAGCCACTCCTGCACCCACCGCTCCTTCCGACCCTGGATCCTGTTACAACCGGCGGCCCCTGGCTCCCCATCCGTGCGCTTGGACCCCAGACCCCTGGCTCCCTGTCTGCTTCCCAGATCTCTATCCGTGCTCCCCCATCCCCAGAACCCAGACCCCAGACCCCTGAATCTTCACTTCTGACCCTAGCCTCTGAACCACAGACCTCCATCCGTGTTCCCAGACCCCAGGGTTCTGGTCCGTGCCCCTGGTCATGCGCCACCTCGGGCTCTGGCTGCTCAGCGCGTTGTGGCTGCAGGGTGAGTGCTTGGGGGGTGGGGGGGCTCTGGCCAGGTGTGAGGGAGCTGCTGCCCCGCCAGAGGCCGGTCACCTGGCCTGTACCCCAACTGTGCTGGTCTTGGGCTCACTCAGCAGGAGGCAAACAGACTGAACTTCAAAAGGGAACTGTGGAAAATGGTGCCTGGGGTGTTCTCTGGGCTCCTAGTCGGAGGTGGGGCTGGGGTAGAGCAGGACCTCCTCTGGCCTTAGAGTGAGTGCCCATCTCCACGGGACCCCTAAGCCAGCAGGGAAGGGAGGACTGAGGAGCAGTGGCCTGGAGCTGGGGGGGGGGGGGCCCACCTCCCGCCTGGGGAGGACCCAGTGTGCTGCCAGTTCTGGCCCCTACCCCAGCTCCGGAACCTCCTGGACTAGGGTTCTGATGTGTCCCAGCCCCACCCGGGAGGCAGCCAAGAGAGCAGCCGGGGCCTCTCACACCTGGAGGTTTGCAAGGTGATGGCCACACAGACCCCATTAACACCTTAGGAGAGGGAGGATGGGTCTCCGGTGGCTGGTTGTCAGCACCCAACTCTGGGCCTGCCCTGATGTCTGTTGTCGGATTCGTGGGAGCTTCTAGATGCCAAGGAGGTTGGGCAGCTCCCTGGTGAGATGCGGTTTATGTGGTTAGTTATGCGGGAAAGTGCAGGGCAGGTGGCTGGCATCCTAGCACCCTCCAGAGGCCTCTGTGCACCCTTAGTCCTGGGACGGAGAGGGGCCGTCTGGGAGCAACTGGTAGGCTCCTGGCCCCACCCAGGAAGGGGGTCCTGTTTTTTGTTGTTGTTGTGTTGTCAATCCTCACCCGAGGATATTTTTTCATTGATTTTTAGAGAGAATGGAAGAGAGGGAGAGGGAGAGGGAGGGAGAGAGAGAGAGAAACATCCACGTGAGGGAGACACATTGATCGGTTGCCTACCTACAACCCAGGTACGTGCCTTTGACCTAGAACCAGAGACTCTTTAGTGCACAGGCCTATGCGCTATGCACTGAGCCACACTGGCCAGGGCATTCTATTGTGTTTTTAATGCCAGATCTGAGTCTGGTCCCCATACTGTCTCGCCAAGGAAGGGGACGCCCAGGGCAGGAGGGTGGGTGCCCTACACACCTGCTAACACCTCTCTCCCCCACAGTGCTCACCCCCAGCACCCCCCTGCCCCAGGTGGAGCAGTATGAGGTGGTGTGGCCCCAGCGTCTGCCAGGACTGCGTGCCCGCCGAGCCCTGCCCGCTGGCCTGGTGAGTCTTGGGGAGATCCCTCCCTCACCCCACAGAGCCCAGTTGTTAGAGGATCGCAGCTCCTGTGTGCCCCAGCTGGTTGTGAGGGGCCAACCTTGGTGCTGAAGGCCAGGTGGGCATCTGGGCTTTGGGGCAGACCCCTGAGGGGTCTCACTGCCCACCTGGGCTCCTCACACTGAACCCTTTCCCTGGCTCAGGGCCTGTACCCAGAAAGCGTGAGTTGTGTCCTCGGTGCCTGCCTGGCGTTCCTCCTTAGGCCTCACCTTCCTGCTTCCTGCCTCTCCCCGTGGGCGGGTCCACTGGTGGGCCCAGGCCACTCCCCACCACCCAGGGCCCTTCTCCAGTTAAGCTGAGGAGTGATAAGTCAAATTCCTCTTAGACTAGAGGAGGTGGGCCGCTCCCCGGGGGCCTGTTGCCACCCTTCTTAGGGTTCTGGGGCCAGGCTGAGGTCCCCAGGGCTGCCTGGGGTTAGTCCTGGAACGACGCGGTTGTGCGCTTTGAGAGTGGGGTGTTTGTTTGTGAATGGATATGCTTGCTCATGCACGGGGGGACAGCCCTGTCCTGTCTTTGGTGTCTGGGAAGAGCCCTGAGCCCCTGGACCCTCACCCTACCCTGAGGGCAAGGTACATACTGTTCCTGACAAGGGGTGGGGAGGGGCTGGGTCTCTTAGGGGGAGGGCACCTGAGGCTGGAGGGAACCCCCCACACTGCCTTTGCCACCTATAGGGCTCTATTCCACCACCCCCCCCAGCTTCCTGGGAAAGGGCATCGTCGTCATTGACCTTGTGTGGACGATGGGGAGACCACGGCCTGAGGCTTGGCCTGGGTCCCTGGAGTCCAGCCCAGCCTTGTCCAGCATCCTCTCTAGCCTAGTGCTGACCGACCCCCAGGGTCCTCTGAAGGGCTTCAGGCTGGGGGGCCCTGGCTTTGGGCGCTGTCCCCGTTAGCTGAGCTCCACCCCAGGTTTGAGGTGGGCGTGGCCTGAGGCGAGGCCTTCACCTGGACCCCTCCTATTTTCCTGGCTCAGGAACTGTACCCAGAGAGTGTGAGTTATGTCCTTGGTGCCCAAGAGCACACCTTCACCCTGCATCTTCGGAAGAACAGGTGAGCGGGCATCTGGTCCTGCCCCCAGCACACCTGTGTCCTGGGCATCCAGCTCCCTGGCAGTGTCTCCTCCACGGGGGAGGCAGGTGGGACCCCGGGAGCTACAGTGGTTCTTTTCTTAGGGACCTGGTGGGCTCGGGCTACACGGAGACCTACACGGCTGCCAATGGCTCCCAGGTGACTGAGCAGCTGCAGGGGCAGGTACGGCCCGGGTGCCCTCCACAGGGCGGGTGGGGGCTCTGGGAGTGAGGCCTGCAGAGCCCTCATGCCCACCTCCCGCAGGATCACTGCTTCTACCAGGGCCACGTGGAGGGGCACCCTCTCTCTGCCGCCAGCCTCAGCACCTGCGATGGCCTCAGGTGAGTGCTCTGACCTGGGCAAGGTCGGTCAGAATGTCAGGGTCCCAGCACACCCCTCACCTTCTAGAGAAGTGAACTGAAGCCGAGAAGAAAGGGGCCAGACTCGGGGACACCTTTTGGTACCCGGGTGTCTGGGCTTCTTACAAGTTACAGGTTCCCGACCCGAAGGCTTCTGTCCCTCCTGGGCAGCAGGCAGGGGAGGGCACTGATTCGGAGCCCCCTGCTCCCCTCCACAGGGGCTTCTTCCGGGCGGGCTCGGCTGTCCACCTGATCGAGCCCCTGGGCGGAGGCGGTGAAGAGGGGCAGCACGCACTCTACAAAGCACAGCACCTGTTGCAAAAGGCGGGGACCTGCGGGGTCAGCAACACCAGCCTGGAGAGCATCCTGGGCCCGCGCACCTCCGCCGCCTTCAGGCCCCGGGTGAGGAGGCCCCGCGCGGCTTCGTCCCTCTCCCCTTGGGCCTGTGTGTCCCCCAGGCTCCCCGTGTGCTCAGCCGTCCCCATGGCCAGTGAGCCTGACTGCTCAGCAGCTGTGGAGATGGCTCCTTAATCTGTGCTGGCACCGCCTGGACAGTCCCCCGACACTGAGCAGGAGCCCCGGGAAACGGTCCGTGTGCAGGCTGGGCCAAGGTCAGGAGGCTACGGCTGGGGCCACTGACCAGCTGCTCATTGCCGTTTCACAGAACTGGCCACCATCCCAAGAAACCCGCTATGTGGAGCTGTATGTGGTCACCGACAGCACAGAGGTGCATGGGCGGGGTGGGCAGGAGGGGGCGGGCCATCCATAGGCTGCTGGCTGACTGAGGGTCTGCTGTCATCCAGTTCCGGAAGTGGGGGAGCAGAGAGGCCGTGCGCAGGCGGGTGCTGGAGGTCGTGAACCACGTAGACAAGGTGGGAGCCGTTTCTACCCTGGGGGGTCTCCCAGGGGCTCCTCCCCCAGCAAGGGTTTCCAGGACCCCCAGCAACACAGGTCCATTCTAGACCAGGTGTCACCCGGCAGGACAGAAACCCTGGTTGTCAAGGTGGAGGGGGCACCAGGGAGGGAAGGGGGTAGCAGAGCCATCAGCAGGTGAGGAGGAAGCTCGGCCCTGTCCCACTCACAGTGCAGATGCCTCTGCAGCCCAGGCCCTGCCCCTCTGCGGTGGCGCCCGCCCTCACTGTCCTGGAGCCTGACCCTCGGGATCCTCTCTTCCCGTAGCTTTATCAGGAACTCAAGTTCCGTGTGGTCCTGGTGGGCCTGGACATCTGGAACTATATGGACAAGATTCAGATCAGCTCCCAGGCCAGCGCCACGCTGGACAACTTCCTCGAGTGGCGGGCACAGAACCTGGTGGGGCGGCACCCTCATGACAACGCACAACTCATCACGTGAGTGGGCAGCGGGTGCTGGGTGATGAGAACAGCCACGGCCAGGAAGGGCGGGGGATGGAGGGGGCCCTCAGGAGCATGGCCCTTCCTGGGGTGTCCACCTGCAGACACTGCTCTTGTTTCCAGCGGGGCCGACTTCGATGGGACCACTGTGGGACTGGCCAAGGTGTCTGCCATGTGCTCCCGGGACTCGGGGGCTGTGAACCAGGTGAGGAAGAGTGTGGCCCAGGTGGGGAGCCAGGCTTGGAGCTTGAGCTGAAAAGCATGCAGGGGAGACCTTAGGACCTAGGTCCACCTGCAGGTCCCCAGGCTGTCACCATAAACACCTGACAAGCTGCCTCTTCAGGAGGATGAATTGATGCTTTATGGTTTTTTGTTGTTGTTTTTTTTTATCCTCACCTGAGGATATTTTTCCATTTTTTGTACAGATAGAGTAGGAGGGAGAGAGAGGAAGGGGGAGAGAGAGAGAAACATCGACGTGAAGGGACACATTGAGTGGCTGCCACCTACACGACCAACCAGGGCCGGGGACAAACTGCAATCGAAGTACGTGCCCTTAGCGGGAACCGAACCCGGGTCTCTCCGGACCGCAGGCCGACGCTCTAACCACTGAGCCAAACTGGCCAGGGCACTTTATCCTCACCCGAGGATATTTTTCCATTAATTTTTAGATAGAGTGGAAGCGGGGCGGGGAGAGAAACATCAATGTGAGAGAGACACATCGACTGGTTGCCTCCCGCACGACCCCAGCTAGGGCCGGGGATTGAACCTGCAACTGAGGTACATGCCCTTGACCAGGAATTGAACCCACGACTCCTTGGTCCATGGGTGGATGCTCTAACTGCTGAACCAAATCAGCCAGGGCTTTATGGTTGTTTTTTTTTGGTTTTGTTTTTAATTCTCACCCGAGGATATTTTCTATTTATCTTCAGAATGAGTGGGAGGGAGAAAGAGGGAGAGAAAGGGAGGGAAAGAGAAACATCGATGTGAGAGGGACACATTGACTGGTTGCCTCCCGCACGACTCCAACCAGGGCCGGGGACAAACTGCAACTGAGGTACATACCCTTGGCCTTAATCGAACCTGTGTCTCATTGGTCCACGGGCCGATGCTCTACTGCTGGGCCAAACCGGCCAGGGCTGTTTTATATATTTTTTAATCCTCACCCAAGGTTATGTTTATCATTGATTTTTAGAGAGAGGGGGAAGGGGAGGTAGGGAAAGAGGAGGAGAGTGAGAAACATTGGTTGCCTCCCACATGCATCCCAACTGGGGATGGAACCCACAACCTGGGTGTGTGTCCTGATCAGGAATTGAACCCATGACCCTTCGGTATATGGGACAATGCTCCAACCAAATGAGCCACACCAGTCAGGGCTGTGCTTTCTGTTTAAAACGCATTAGCAGGCCTGGCTGGTGTGGCTCAGTGGTTGAGTGTTGACCCAGGCACCAAAAGGTTACTGGTTTGATTCCTGGTCAGGGCACATGCCCAGGTGTGGGCCTGATCCCCAGTGGGGGCCAGGCAGGAGGTAGCCAATCGATGTTCTCTCTCATCGATGTTTCTACCTCTCTCTCCCTCTCCCTTCCTCTCTCTCTAAAATCAATAAAAAGAAAAAATTTTTTAAAGAGGAGACAAATCTCTCAAAAATAAAAACAATTTTTTTAAAAGGTATTAGCAGGAAGTGCCGCCAGACTTGCTTAGGGCAGCAGGGCTGACAGGAAGGTGTCAGGGCCAAGTGGGTGGCACCGGCCAACACAGCCTCTCCCGTAGGACCACAGCGAGAACCCCATTGGCGTAGCGAGCACCATGGCCCACGAGATGGGCCACAACCTGGGCATGGACCACGACAACAACATCCAGGGCTGCTACTGCCCCGCCCCACGCAACAGCGGCGGCTGCATCATGGCACCCAGCCTCAGGTGAGGCCCGTCCCGATCCAGCATGACTGAGGGCACCAGCACAGTGGGGTGTCCTGAGATGCAGGTGGCCTGTCCACCACCGGCCCTCCTGAGAGACGCCCCTGCCCTCAGCTTCCCATTCCCCAGAACGTTCAGCCACTGCAGCCGGACCGACCTGGAGACGTTCGTGGAGAAGCCCCGTACCACCTGCCTGGCGAATTCTCCAGACGTTGACCGCCTGGTGGGCGGCCCTGTGTGCGGGAACGGGTTTGTGGAGCACGGGGAGCAGTGTGACTGCGGCAGCCCACAGGTACAGAGCCTGGCACTGCCACCCCCTGCCCTGCACCAGCGCCAGATTGGGACATCCATCCCTGACCCACCAGGTGCCCTGCATGCCCGCAGCCCCGATCAATACACTCCTGCCTTCTGACACCCACAGCAACCCATCGCGGGTCCATGGGAAGGCCCCAGCCCACCTGGGGGGGTCGTGGAGGGAGGTGGGGCTCTGGGGTTACTCCGGAGCCCAGAGCTCAGACCCTCAGCATTGCCCTGACCCGCAGGACTGTCAGAACCACTGCTGCAATGCCACCACCTGCCAGCTGGCCGAGGGGGCCGAGTGTGCCCAAGGTGCCTGCTGCCATGAGTGCAGGGTGAGCACAGGGCCCCGGCTGCCCCTCCTGCCCCTAACCAGCTGTACCCCAAGGTCGCTGAGTGGGAAGGGGCTCTGGGGATGGTGGGGATGGAGGGGCTGGAGCAGCGGGTGTGGGCCTGTCTGCTTGGGTCCCGCTGTTCCCATGGTGAACGTCACTGCTGGGCCAGGTGAAGCCAGTCGGCAAGCTGTGCCGCCCCCGCAAGGACACCTGTGACCTAGAGGAATATTGTGATGGCCAGCGGCCAGCCTGCCCAGAGGACGCCTTCCAGGAGAACGGCACGCCGTGCCCGGAGGGCTACTGCTACGACGGGACCTGCCCCACGCTGGCCCAGAGGTGCCAGGACTTGTGGGGGCCAGGTGAGGCAGGTGGCAGGTGACCCCCAGGCCGGAGGGTAGCTTTGGGTCCCGAGCTGGGGGACTGACCGTCTCCTGGCCTGCAGGCTCACGTGCCGCCGCGGAGGCGTGCTACACCTTCGGTGTCTCACCAGACTGCAGGAGCAGCGGCGGCCGTGGCTCCAGCAGGTGAGTGTCCAGCCAGCCCGACTGCCCCGGCTGCGGGGTGTCCTCATAGGTGGGGTCTCCTGAGAAAGTCCTCTGCAGGGCCATCAGGCCTGACCACACTACTCCCGTGGGAGGGGGGGTGGGTCACTCTGGCTGGGGATGTAGATGCCCCATCAGTGGAGCCCACAGCCCATCCAAGGTCCTGGAAGCTCCCTAGGTCCCCACTGAGCACATCAGAAAGCACGGAGCAGACCAGCAGAGCTGGCACCAGGCGAATCCCTCTGTCCACAGGGTCCAGTGTGGCATCTTGTTCTGTGAGGGTGGGCAGAAGCCTTCAGAGCGGGGCTCCTGCACCATCTCCCCCTACCGCTCAGTCGATTGCCAGGCTCTTCAGCTGGACGGTGGTTCTGGGTACGAGCGGGTGCTCGAAGGCACCAAGTGCGGCGATGAGAGGGTGAGTGACCAGACACGAGCCTGGACGTTGCCCCTGAGGCAGTCAGGCCAGTGGACCCCATGTCCTGGACGTACGTCTCACACACAAGCTAGCGTGGTCCAGAGCGAGGCGGTGGCAGCTGGAGGGCTGTGCAGATGGATGGACTCCTCTGTTCTCAGTAGAAGCTTGGTGCAGGGGGAGGCGCCAGGAAAGCCGTTCTCTGCAAGTCCCCCCAGGGAGCGGTGGGGCTGGTTCTCTGTGACCTTGGTGGCAGCTGTGGGCTGGCCGACTGGCCAGCAGGTGGGCTGCAGACAAGGCCTTCCGGGCTGTGGTGGCTGAGGCCTGCCCGCCTTGAAGCTCACCTGCAGGTTTCGGGTCAGCTTCGGCTGCTGGGGGAGAGTGGGGGCCAACGGTTGAGACTGGCTGCCTGACACCCCACCCCCGCCTTCCAGGTGTGCTGGAAAGGACTGTGCCAGGACCTCCAGGTTTACCGATCCAGAAACTGCTCCGCCCAGTGCAGTGGCCGTGGGGTGCGTGGGCCTTCGGGGTGAAGGAGACTGAAGCCGTGCTCAGGGCGAGCCCAGGTGGACAGAGGGCAGAGGCCTGGAGCTAGTGAGGGTCTGCGGGCCCTGTGTGCATCCTGAGCCTCGGCTGTCGTGGTGCCTGTGGACATGTGGGCTGGGCTGCTCTGTTCTGAGATGGGAGAGGGCTCAGCTATTAGTGACGTAAGGGACGTCAGGCTCTGTGATGTAAGGGACATCAGACTTCCGGGAGCTTGGAACGGGCTGGAGCATCCCTTCTGAGCCGCCTGGAGAGGGCAGGGAGCCACACCTTTGCCTTGCTTAGAAAGCCCTGTGGTGTTTGGTCCCCCAGGTGAGGCGAGGGGCTGCTGCTCTCCTGGACACTTGGGTGTAGGAGCCAGGCCTATGGATGAGCCCAGCCTGTCCCCGTCAGTAGGGGTCATGGCAGAGTCCCTCGCAGGCCTAGGCCGGGCCTGGTGATGCCTGTGTGGGCACCGGGTGATGCAGCACAGGCAGGGCCCAGGGGCCCATTTCTGATGCCTGGCTGTCCCCCAGGTGTGCAACCACAAGGGGAAGTGCCACTGCGACCCAGGCTGGGCCCCACCACACTGCACAGAGCTGCTGGCCGACGCACACACAGGTAGGACCTAGCTGTCCCCAGAGCCTGCGTACCCATACAGCCTGATGGGGTCTCGGGGAACCACTTGGGTAGTGAGAAGGAAGCCGCATGCCTCCAAACCATTGGTGCATCGTTAGAGATTCAGACTCAGCCCCGGGCATCCTGACCTCAGGTCTAGGGTAGGGTCCATGAGCCTGTGACTCCACCTCGACTCCACAGGTGATGGGTCCTCAGATGGGCACTTGGCTGCAGGGGAGGGGCCCCAGAAAGGCCCCTGGCTGCCCTTCCAGCCCCCATTGCCCTGTTGACACCTGGCTTCACGTGCCCCACAGCGTCCGGGAGCCTCCCGATGGGCGTGCTGGTGCCTGTGTTGCTCCTGGTGGCTGTGGCACTCACCTTGGTAGGCGTGGTCGTCTACCGCAAGGCTGGGAGTGGCATCCGCCGGAGGTGAGGGTTCCCCCGGGGCTGCAAAACATCCCTGTGCAATAAGCATGTCCCCTCCCGCACGATTGCAAAATGGCCCTGCTGCTGCTGGAGGAAGAAGAGCCTCTCACTGGGGTGGGAACATGAGATAAGCTTTGGTGACAGGTTGGAGATGTGGTGAGCCCAGAGAGATGGCCCATCCCCCACGCACCCCTGACCCTGGGAGGTGTCAGCACTCATGGAGTGCTGTGGGCTCAGAGAAGCTGCCCGCCCTGAAGGGAACTTGACCCTGTGCTGGGTGCATAACACACAGGAGGCCACCTCTCCTTTTCAAACCATGTGGGGGTTGGCAGGCACCGCAGCTGTGAGGTACCCTGGCCTGGCCATTGATAAAGTCTTACTTTCTCAGCAGGAACGTGGCGCCCAAGACCGCCGTGGGGCTCTCCAACCCTCTGTTCCACGAGGGGGGCATTGGGCCAGCGAAGGGCAGGGCTCCGGCCCCCACCGTGGGCTCCCCAGAGCCGGTCGCTGCCATGCATACCGTCCACCCTGGCCAGCTCCCCAAGCCCACTGCTGCTACAGTGACCCCTAAACGGCCGCCCCCTGCTGTAAGCACCAGCGAGCTCCCTGGGCCACCTGATCTAGTCCACCAGGGCCTTGGAGCAGCAGCCATGATCACCTGTTCAGAGGCAGGAGGAGACTTTAGGATGGGTGGTCTGAGGACCCACATGACAGAACTGTCAATTGAACTTGAATCTGAGTTCAAGGCCTCTGCAGGGTCTGAGGAGTTTTGAGGCCCAGAGTCCCTCTGCTGACCCAGCACCTCAGAGGATCCACATGGTTAAGAGAAGGAAACATGCAGGTCACATTCGGACTCTGGGCCCTGCTGGTGGTGGGACACAGCCCCATGCACACACCAGAGCTTCATCCCCTTCTGGGGGGCAGAGCCCCATGCACACACCAGAGCTTCATCCCTCTCTGGGGGGGACACAGCCCCATGCACACACCAGAGCTTCATCCCCCTCTGGGGGGACACAGCCCCATGCACACACCAGAGCTTCATCCCCCTCTGGGGGGGACACAGGCCCATGCACACACCGGAGCTTCATCCCCCTCTGGGGGGGGGGACACAGCTCCATGCACACACCAGAGCTTCATCCCTCTCTGGGGGGGACACAGCCCCATGCACACACCAGAGCTTCATCCCCCTCTGGGGGGGACACAGCCCCATGCACACACCAGAGCTTCATCCCCCTCTGGGGGGCAGAGCCCCTTGCACACACCAGAGCTTCATCCCCCTCTGGGGGGGACACAGCCCCATGCACACACCGGAGCTTCATCCCCCTCTGGGGGGCAGAGCCCCATGCACACACCGGAGCTTCATCCCCCTCTGGGGGACACAGCCCCATGCACACACCGGAGCTTCATACCCCTCTGGGGGGGACACAGCCCCATGCACACACTGGAGCTTCATCCCTCTCTGGGGGGACACAGCCCCATGCACACACCGGAGCTTCATACCCCTCTGGGGGGGACACAGCCCCATGCACACACTGGAGCTTCATCCCTCTCTGGGGGGACACAGCCCCATGCACACACCGGAGCTTCATCCCCCTCTGGGGGGCAGAGCCCCATGCACACACCGGAGCTTCATCCCCCTCTGGGAGGGGCAGAAACAGATCTTGAAGGGGGGGGGCAGCTCCTGGAGGCTGTGAGATCCAGGCTCATGGCCCTTTCCCTGCAGCCTCCGGCCGCCATGTCCAGCTCACCCTTCCCAGTTCCCATGTACACCCAGCAGGCCCCAGCCCAGGTGAGTGTGGTGGGAGCCTGAAGCCAGGCAATGTAGGTGTCGAAAATCAGGTCCCAGGAGGTGGAGGGTCCAAGGGCTGGATTTGATAGGCTAGGGGCCCCAGGGTGCAGCCACCACACTTTCAGAAGGCTGATCACTGGGCCCAGTGAGGATGTTGACCCAGGGGCCTGGGCTTCTGACTTTCCTCCCTCCTCCAGCTCAGACCTGCTCCTCCCACCAAGCCCCTCCCGGAGCTGAAGTCCAAACAGGTAGGAAGACCTGGCCGCTTGGCCATGCAGTAGGCTCCCTTGGCTATGCCTGTTCCCTCTTCTCTGGCCAGACCCAGAGCCTCCCCTGCAACCCAAACCCCAGAGGAGGGGGTGGGGTGCTCCCCTGCTGTCCTGACCACCTTTCGGCTTACCCCAGAGTCTCTTCTGTAGATCACAGAGGTCTGGCCCTGGCAGGCTCCTTATTGCTGGGGCCTGCTCACTGCCCACCTTGGACCAATACCAGCCTCCAGCAGGTGGCTGCCTCTGCTTCTGGCAAAGTCAGTGTGGAAGGAATGGTCAGACTTTCTCAACCAGTTGCCACCCCTCCTGGGGCAGGCTTCACCCACCAGGCATCCTGTGGGGCTCCTGGTGACCACCTGTATGTCTGTCACCAGTGATGTTGACTCATGCAAGTTTCTCCCTGTGGCCTTGGTGTCTTAGAGATACTTTGAGAGATTTGTCTCCTCTTATTTTAAAAAATAATTTTCTTTTTATTAATTTTAGAGAGAAAGGAAGGGAGGAGAGAGAGATAGAAACATCGATGACAGAGAACATCGATTGGCCGCCTCCTGCATGCCCCCCACTGGGGATTGGGGCCCACAACCTGGGCATGTGCCCTGACTGGAAATCGAACCAGCGACCTTTTGGTGCATAGGTCGAGGCTCATCCACTGAGCCACACCGGCTGGGCTCCTCTTACTTTTTAAACTGACCCACATGGATCTCCCTGCAACAACCTTTACTGTGGTGCTTGCCTAATAGACATTCTCTGTTGCTTTCCTTTCAAACTTTTTGTTTAGAACTAATTTTAGACTTACAGAAAGTTACAAAAGTGGTCTAAAGAGGGATTTTGAAAGGCCAGATGGGCAGGGTAGGGAGAGAGATTTCTGGACCAGGAGGTGGTGATAGCCAGGCAGAGGCTGTGAGAAACCGGATGTTCAGTAGGGTCCTGGGTTATCGAAAACTACAAATACTGGCCCCACCCAGGCGTCCTGGATGCTGGGGTGTGTGGCCAGGGCTGAGCATGGCTGGGCTAGGTCTGGTCAGCCTTTCACATCCATCCCAAGTCCTCTCTCCCTTCACCCTGGGAAAGCTGAAATGAACATTAATGCCAATTTTAGTCATTAATTCTTGGTTTTAAACTTCCCAAGACCCACATTCTGTAAGTTTAAAAGTTTTTTGTTTGTAAAGTTGGGGTGGTGTGGGGGTCTTGGGGAGAAGGCAACCATGTCTGGCTGGCTAGAGTTTCATTCTGCAGGTAGCCATGGGTAGAGGGAGGGTGTTGGGTGGGACTTTTTCTGTAGAGAACTCAGCAGAGAAGCCTGCAGGCTGGTCTGAGCAGAGCAGAGCACCTGGGAAGACAGTGCCCTGCCCTGGCCAGGATCATTAAGTGGTTTCCAGTGTCACTGTGTCTGCTTCCTCCCAGGTGGTCAAGCCAACCTTTGCGCCCCCGGTGCCACCAGCCAAGCCCAGAGCTGAAAGGACCAACCCTGGACCTGCTGAGGTGAGCCCCTCACCCAGGGCAGGAGCAGTGGAGCGAGCCTCCTTCCCCCAGCAGGCTGGCTGGGCACGGCCCGAGGGTTACGTTGTCGGCTGAAAGGAGAGATGTTAGCTGCAGGTGTATTCTAACCTGTGCTTTGCACTCTGCCAGAGGACTTTGCAGGGATTGCTGCTTCTACTGGCTGTGAATTTGTCTTCACCTACTAGTCTGAGTACAAAAGTCTGTCCTTCATAAAGTGTTAGCTATGAGCACTGTGGCTGTCACTGTTGTAGTGTGCACAGGGCCATCATATTGTTGGCTGAACTAAGAATCTAAATTTTTGTTTTTAAATCCTCATCTGAGGATATTTTTCCATTCATCTTCAGATAGAGTGGGAGGGAGAGAGAGAGGGGGGAAACATTGATGTGAGAGAGACCCATCAACTGGTTGCTTCCCGTATGACCCCAAGCAGGGCCAGGGACCGAACTGCAACCGAGGTACATGCCCTTGCCTGGAATCGAACCCGCGACTCTTTGGTCCAACGCTCTAACCGCTGAGCAAAACTGGCCAGGGCAAGAATCTAAATTTTTTTTTTTTTCATCCTCACCTGAGGACATTTTTCCTTTTTTTTTTTTGTACAGATAGAGTGGGAGGGAGAGAGAGGAAGAGAGAGAGAGAGAAACATCGATGTGAAAGGGACACATCGAGTGGCTGCCACCCGCACGACCAACCAGGGCCAGGGACAAACTGCAACCGAGGTACGTGCCCTTAGCGGGAACCGAACCCGGGTCTCTCCGGACCGCAGGCAGATGCTCTAACCGCTGAGCCAAACCAGCCAGGGCACAAGAATCTAAATTTTAATACATGTAAAAGGAAATAAGATTTAGTTGTACTCTTTGTAGCAGGAGTTTTTATTGTTTCTTTTTTTCCTCCTTCAAGGGAGTCGTTGGCCCAAAGGTTGCTCTGAAGCCCCCTGTCCAAAGGAGGTGATGGACTCGAGCTCACAGCACCCTTGGGGCTTCGGCACACCTGCCTGCAAGCTGTTGTTCATGTTGAAAGAGCCCTGTGCCAGCCGATGCAGCGCCTCTGCCCAGGCCCTGGGTGTCCCTCTGGGTTGGGTCCACTGTGAGAAGTCCCAGCAGAAGAGACACCTCCTCATGGCCAAGGTCTTGCTTCAGCCTCCCAGGGTCACAGCCAAGGGCCTCTCTGTCAGGACTCCGCTGGTGTTCCTGACCTCTCTCCCACCTTGGCCACATTTAGCTATGCCAGGCTACTGTGTGTGGCCTGTGTGTGCATGTCTCCAGATGGCTGCTGCCTTCCCCAGGGTGCTGAGGAGGCTCCCTCAGGCCGACTGCACTTGCTGTCAGGCCTGCTGCGCCCTCCTTGCTCCAGGCCCTCAAGGTGGAAGGCTGTGCGTGCTGTGCGTGCTGTGCGTCCCAGGAAGACCCCTCCTGCCAGTGTGCTGAACAGCAGGTTAGCACACCCAGACTGCAAGCCCCTCAATCTTCGGAGCCTGATATTTAAGGAAAAAAAGCCTATTTTTACCATTAAATTATTGCTTGACTTTTAAATGACTTGAGATTTTTATTAGATGGATGAAATACGGGGCAAACCAGAAACGATGTGCAATTCAATCTGTAATATTAAGGGTCCAGTGCTTGTTAAGATAAAACATCCAGCCTGGCAGGTGTGGCTCAGTGGCTGAACTTGTACCCATGCACCAAGAGGTTGCTGGTTCAATTCCGGGTCAGGGCACATGCCCGGGTTGCAGGCTTGATCCCCAGTGGGGGTCGTGCCGAGGGCAGCCCTTGGATGTTTCTCTCTCATCTACGTTTCTATTTCCCCTTCTCCCTTCCTCTCTTTCTAAAAATAAATAAATAAATAAAATGCACACTGTACAAGGGCAGCGACTTTTCACCTTCTTTGCTCTCTGACTTTCTCATAAGCTACCCCCCCCTCAAACTGAGCAGTCTGGCCCCCCCCCCCAGTAGAATTCAACCTGCACCTACAAAACCCCTGCCCTTCCGGCCCCGCCCCCTGTCTCCGCCCGACAACCCGCCCCTTCCGGCGCTGTCTCCTGGCAACGGCTCCAACAATCCGTCCCGCCGCCATGCTGGGGGTCGCCCCGCCGAGCGCCCCGGGCCAGTCGCCGCTGTCACCCTGCACGCTCCGCAGCCTCTACACCTGGCTGGACGGGCTCCCGCTCAGCCGCCCCAAGCGCCACCTGGCTCGGGACTTCAGCGACGGCGGTGAGGCCAGGCCCGGCCCCGAGCAGAGAGGGACGTGGCCGGCCAGGGCCAGTGCCTCGCGAGCTGACCCAGGTCCCCAGGCTCCCTGCAGAGTGCTGAAGACCCCAGAGAGGGCGTGAGGGGCGCCCCGGAAGGGATGCGCAGGACGCCAGAAAGGAGGGGAGGCGGGATGGGGCCTGACGCCCCGGGAGGAGGAGGACGGTGGCCCAGAGAGGGGCCGTTGCGCATACAGTTCCCTCCCCTGGCATTCCTGGGGGCGGGTGGCGCAAACTCAGGCTTCCCTCCAGCACCTCTGACCCAGCCCGGCTCTCACACCCCTGCCCCTGGGGCACCCACACCTTGGTCCCAGCTGTGGCTCGCCCAGGACGCCCGCTGTCTGTGCTCATCCACCTCGGGGCCATGGAGACTGATGATGGAAGGGAATAAGAGGTTCCTAAAATCGGGGGGCCAGGCTCACCTTGCACCCTCCACTCCACCCCTAGTGATGCTGGCGGAAATTGTGAAGCATTTCCACCCCCGCCTCGTGGACCTGCACAACTATGTGCCCACCTGCAACACGGACCAGAAGCTCAGCAACTGGAGCATTCTCAACAGGCAGGCTCTCCGCCTCCCTGCCTTTTGCCTTTTTTTTGTGGGAGCCCCCAGTCCTGCTCCCGGAGGGCCCCCCCCCCTAAGGCTGGTCTGGGTGGGCAGCCTCTCTCCCGCCCCACCTGGTCTCCAGGACAAGTTCTCAGGCTGATTCCTTGCTATGGGTTTCCCAGACACCCTGTCAGTGTTGTTCCTGTCATCAGAATCTCACAATGAACCTGGGGCTCCTGGGGGTTCCCAACAAGAAGACAGCACTAGTCAGCTTGAGACCTGCTCAGCTTACTAGGGTATCAGTCCTTCCCTCTGATTGTGTGTCCAGTCTTTGCTGACCACACCTCTCATTCTCTCACTCAACAATAATTCTGGGTGCGGGGCTCTGCTCCAAGCACAGCAGACACGGCAGTGAACAGCCTCTGCCTTCCTGGGGCTGAGTCTAGAGGAAAGACAGATAAAGGAGATGTGTCAGGTGTGATGAGTGCAATGGGGGATGAGGCAGGGCCCCTGAGCAAGTGACAGAACAGTGAAGTAGGTGATCTGTGGGTGCAACGGGGGCTGTAGTGGAGAGTAGGGTGCAGAGTCCCTTTGGTGAACCGAGGGGTTGGAGCTGGGTAAGGAGTGTTCTCAGAGCCGCTAAAGGTCCCTGGAGACCTTGCTGAGGACCCTGCTCCTAGCCTGGGGCTGAGGGGCACTGCAGGGTTGAGGCCTTATTGCAGGGGAGGGGAGGGGAGGTTGATACCGGGGGAGGCGGTGGTGAGAAGTCAGGTTCTGGGCATTGCAGGTGAGCCAGCAGGACTGACTCAGAGCGAAGGGTAACAGGCAGGAAGGTGACTTCTACCGTGCAGTGTCCCTGGGCCACTTACTAGGGAGATGGTAGCCCAGGCTGGAAACACCAGGCCTGAGCAGTATTCTGTGACCTTGACGAGATAGCTGGAAACAAGATAGCCACCAGGTCTCCGCAGCTGTGGAGCAAGAAGTAGCCCTGATCCCAAAGCCCCTCCAAGGAGAGCCAGGGTGCACTGCTCTGAGGGCTGCACCCCCTGCTTCCTTCGCAGAAAAGTCTTTCACAAGCTGCATTTCTGTGTCTCAGAGGTGGATATCCGAAAGGTGGTGGCCAACACGCCCGGGGCCATTGAGCCCATCTTGTGTGTGCTGAGGGAGAAGGTGGTGGATGCTGCTGTCCATGAAGACCCACCCAGGGCAGCTGTACTTGGTACAATTGTACGTACCGACTTTGAACCCGCTGTCTGTCATGTTTAAATGTGGTCTCATATCTGTCAATGACATGGTGAAACCAGGAAATAAGTGGTGATGAAAACTCACTTTTCGACGTTTGTTCCCAGGCCTGCACAGGCCACACCCCTTTCACCCACCCCCACCCCCTCTGTGACTGGGAAATGCTGGGAGGCAAGTTGGCTATGAGGTCTGGTGTGAGCCCTGCCGGACTGCATCTCACTGTCTAACCTCTGAAATCTTTGCAGAACCCAGGAGTCTCCCAGGCCGATGCTGATGGACTGTGGGTGGGGCTTGCAAGCACCCCCGACACTGGTAGTATCCAAACCGCTGATGTGGGAAACAGCCTCCTGTAAGGGGCAGCACCACAGAGACAGGCGTGTGGTGCCCTCGAGTTCACACACCTGCGAGGGAGGGCAGGTGTACTCAGGTGACACAGCCCAGTGGGGCTGGCAGCCTCCAGAAGGGCAGCTCCTCGCCCTGAGGGGCCTGAGAGGGGAGTCCTGATGCCATCGCCTTCGGGGCTGCAGCCTCCTGAGTGGGAGCCCATAGCTTCTGTCCAGGGGCCATGCAGGGCGGCGGTTGTTCAATGGACACATCTCCGAATGGAAGCCTTTTGGAGGCATCCAGGCTGCCCCTCAGGGTGGCATTAGGCCGGGCCATGCCCACATGGCATTGTCTGTGTGGGCTGTGCCCCCACCCTGTGTGCTGCTGCTGACTGGGCTCCTCTCTGAGCCGTGTCTACTTGTCTTGCAGGCCTGCTGAGCCCCCCAGTGCCCTCTGGAGTGAAGACCCTTCAGAGTGAGGGGGTTGCAGAGAAGATGGGACACTGTGGGTGCAGAGGGTAGGCCCCTGTTTCTCAAACCCTCTGCCATTGTACCCCAGCCACCCTTTCCTGCCAGCTGCCAGGTTAAAGGCCAGGTGTTTGCCTTTCAGCCAGCAGCCAGCTGGTGGGCTCTGGGAGCACTCGGACCCTGCAGTGCAGCAGCTGCTGGAGGAAAAGGAGCAGGCGCTGGCTGTGCTGCAGGAGACAGTCAAGGTATAGTGACCAGGGCCCTCCGTGCCCGCCTCCCTCAGGAAGCCCAGATTGCTTGTGGCATTATGGGGAGGCTCTGCCTTTCCTTCTGTGAAGCTCGGACCCAGTGTGGGGGGTATGGCGGTAGGTGAGGCAGGCAGGGTCTCTGACCAAGGACAATCCACATTTAATTTGATTATTTTATTTATTTATTTTTCTTTATTGATTTTAGAGAGGAAGGGAGAGGGAGAGAGAGAAACATTGACGAGAGAGAACATCGACTGGCCACCTCCTGCACGTGCCCACTGGGGATCAGGCCCACAGCCTGGGCATGTGCCCCGACCAGGAATAGAACCGGCGACCTCTTGGTGCCTGGGTCAACATTCAACCATTGAGCCATACCAACTGGGCTATTTTGATTATTTTTTATTAAAAAATTTTGTAATTGATTTTAGAGAGAGGAAGGGAGAGAAACATTTATGTGAAAGAGAAACTTTGATCGGTTGCCTCCCCACACACCTGGACTGAGGACTGAACCCAAAACCTGGATGTGCCCTGACTGGGATCGAACCCATCACCTTTTGGCGTAAGGGATGAGGCGTCAACCAACAGCAAAGGCTTGATTATTTATTATTATTATTATTAATATTATTATTATTTTATGTTATTTTTTGGGTATGTGCCCCTAGTGGGAACCGAACCTGGGATTCTGTGGTCCGCAGGCCGATGCTCCAACCGCTGAGCCAAACCGGCTAGGGCGGCTTGATTATTTTTAACTATGGAATATTCCCAATGTACTCAGAAGCATATAGAACAATATAGTGCACCCACCAAGAACTCACCATCTAGCCTCCCCAGTTATCAAACCCCAGGGCCCACATTCCAGGGGCTGCTGACAGTCACAGATGTCACCACCCAGATGTGCTGGACCATAGGCCCAAGGCTGTGGAGGCCAAGTCAGGGAGCAGAAGACAGTTCCCAAGGTGCAGGCCTAGTTCTGAGGGTACACACCTAGTTTTGAGGGCACAGATCGGATTCTGAAGTCACATACCTGGCTCTGAAGTCACACCTGGTTCTTTTGTGCACACCTGGTTCTGAGGACACACACCTGGTTCTCACGGATACCTGGTTCTAAGGGCGTGTGCCTGACCCTCGGCTCCTTCGCCAGGAGTCTGCAGTGGTCCTGAGTTAGAAAGTGCTCGGGTTCCTCACTGCCAGAGAACGGCCGCCCCTGGGAGCACAGGCTGCAGCTTCCGACCCGACAGTGGGGGTGGGGTGGGGGTGCTGGTCACACCAGTCTGCTCAGAGCCAAAGCGGCGCAGGAGCTGTGATGACGGTGGTTCCCGGGTGGGTATCGTGATCCTGGTGAGCCGTTTTCTTGAGAAAGCAGGAAAGTGATGTCATCGTGTGGTTTGCCTTTGCCGAGGGACAGCGGAGAGGAAGTGATGAGTAGACATGAAGCTGCTGCCTCAGCGAGGTCTCTCGTAGCACGGGGCTCTGGTCCATGGGCTAACAAGGTGGATTATAATGATTCCTTTTACAAAACCCAGAGGGGAAGGCAGCTCTACCTGCCATTCAGCGATTGTTGCTGGGGTGGATATCTCAGGTGGGGTGACAGATGCCCAGGGGCCATGGGGGCAGCAGCTGAGGGCCTGGGTGGGCATGTGGTGGGCGCCTCTGTGTTGGCAAGAGGAAGTTTGCAGAGTAGGCAGCCTTGGGCTGCCCCTGCTCTTCGAAGCTTGTTTCTGGGAAGTAGGCACTGGGGGGGTGTGTGGCCAGGATACGGGTAGTGTGGTTGGCCACTCGCTGGCCCATGCAGCCCAGGGTTCGCGGGGGGCCTCTGATTCACTGCCCTGGGCAGCTGGAGCTGTCTGTCCTCGGCTGGAGTGTGCGCTGTCACGCCGTTGACTTCACTTTGGACACGGTGTTGGGGGCAGATGACGTTTTCAAATCCCCCTCTTCCACTTTTCTTGCCTGGTGGTGTTGGCGGGTCTGCTTCCAGTAAGGGGAGGCTTGTGACATGGCTGTCCCTGATGGGGGAGGCTGGGCGGATCCTCATTCTTCATGGGAACGGTTTTTGTCTTTATTTTCTGATAAAACTAGATTCACTGGCAGATTTTTTTATTTTATTTATTTATTTATTTTAATCCTCACTCGAGGATATTTTTTCCATTTATCTTTAGGTAGAGTGGAAGGGAAGGAGTGGGCGGGGGGAGAGAGAGACGTCAATGTGAGAGAGACACATCAACTGGTTGCCTCCCGCATGACCCCGACCAGGGCTGGGGACGAACTGCAACCGAGGTACATGCCCTTGACTGGAATCGAACCTGCGACTCTTTGGTCTGCGGGCCGACGCCCTAACCGCTGAGCCAAATCGGCCAGGGCACGGGCAGATTTTTAAAATTGATTTTATTGGGGGCATGTTGGTCAATAAAATGATATAGGGTTCAAGTGTACAATTCTGTACATCATCTTCACACTAGTATTTTCTTGACTGTTAACGCTCAGAAGTACCCCTGGCACATCTGCAGTGACTGCGGAGCGCTCACTCGCGTCTGCTGGCTCGGCCTGCAGCGGCGCGGGCGGCAAGGCGGGAGGAAAGCCAGCCTCTCCCGTGACTTCCCTGTGGCACTCCCTCTGGGTTGTCCCACTCAACGGCCTTGGGTCTGTCAGCCTTGCGGCCTTGCAGAATGGCCGGCTGAACACGCGGCTCGGGAGCTGGAACTGCCCGGCTCTGGCAGGTGGGCGGGGCGTCAGGTCCTGCTGCAATGCTCAGATGTGTGTGTTTTCTCGAAGGTTCTGCAGATGAAGGTGCTCAGGCTGGAGCAGCTGGTGGAGCTGAAGGACTGGCGGATCAGGGAGCTGACCAGACACAGGGATGAGCCCCACTGAGTGCGAGACCGCAGAGAAAGGCTCCCAAGTCAACTAGACCCTGAACTCCAACCCACGTGGACCTCCCCAGACCAGGGACCTTCCAGATGTGCCCCAACACTGTCCAGCAGGCTGAGGGACATCTTGTACAAAGGGCGGGAGGTGGGCCTCAGTGCGCAGAGTTCTCGAGCGTGGAGGCCAGGCCTCAGGGCTGTACGTTTCCACCTGGCCTGTGTTGCCCGAGGTTTGCCTTGAGCCTTGAGGGGTCTTGTCATCACTGTGTCTGTGAACACTGAATGTTCCCCCACCCATGTGTCTACTGACTGGAGTCCTGTGGGGAAACCTATTCATGGGAAGTTGTGTCCCCGGTGGGCCCACTGTGCCTGAGGGGCCAGGAAGACGGGAGAGCCATCAGCCGGCCGTGCTGGCTGGTCCTAGGTACTGTGCTGCAATCCCTTGAGATGGACCAGGTCACCCTGCTTTACTCTGGGGCTTGGGGGTGTCAAGGTAAAGCTGGGCCTGCAGGATGGGCCCCACCCAGTTCTCAGGAGGTCCCTGGCCCTGCCCAGAGGGTGAGCAGGAAGGTCCAGGCAAGCAGCCCCTGGCCCTGAGATGGGGGCTTCAGGGTAGTGTGTTGGTGTGGCCAGGATGCTCCCAGATACTGAGGGTGGCTGGGGGATGGGCAAAGACTTCTCTGTCCTGACATCCAGGCTTCCCTTCTGCTCTGTACCCAGAGTGGGGGGCTGGGGGCTTGGTTCTGCTTCTGACTTCCACTCTCTCATTGCCGGGCGGAGAGCGCCCCGCCCCGCCCCGCCCGGCTGAGTGGAGCAGCGGCAGACTCAGAACCTAAAGCCTCCGTCAGGGTTTCAGCCTGAGTCAGACAGTCCACACGCTCTGAGTCAGATAGCATGTCAGCGGCACCGCAGCAGCCCCTGCCCCGACGGCACGGGTCAGAGCTGCAGGCTCCCGGGACGGTCCCAGCCCTTAAGAGGACTGGAGACGGAGGATCTGCTTGTCCATCCTCGAGATTCAAGGGTCAGGAAGGCTCCAATGGGCCTCAGTGAAGGGACCAGGTGCAAGACCCCTCAGGTTGTGGGAATCTGGGCTACAAGCCGTACCTGCTGGTCCTTGTGTCAGGAGTGGGAAGATCCACCCAGAGATGGGGGAGGGGGCTCCCACAGCTCACAGCTGCTAGGCAGGCTGGGGGGGGGGGGCAGGAAATAGCTTGGGAGGGCCTGGCCCAGAGTCTGAGTTGGGGCAGGCCCAGGCAGCTTCAGACCCCAGACCAGCCTACCTGCCTGGGAGGAGCCCAGGGGCCAGGACGTGGTGGGGGCAGCTTGTACCTTCCCTGCAGCTTCTGTGGTACCTCAAGGGGCTGCACTCTGCTCCCAGGCCCAGACATGCATGGACACACATGCACGTGTGTGGAAGCAGGAGGGCTCACATCTGTGTGCTCTCCGGGGGCGTGGTCTCCAGGTGTAGGTTGAGGCTGGGCAGGGAGGGCCCAAGGCTGCAGGGAGGAGGGGGAAGGGTGCCCTGAGCAGGGCAGCTCCAGGAGGACTCACATGCCCCTCCCCCATCCAGGACCTGCCTGTCATTCCCCAAGGGCTGGGCTTTGGGGTGGAGACAGGTTGGAATTTGGGGAAAGTCCCTGTAGCAATGGAAAGTCCCTGGCAGGGATCAGGCATCAGGTGCTGAGCATGAGGTGTCTTGAGGCCAGGGACTAAGCACTGCACCCCAAACCCACCCCAAACACAGGCCTGTCCTGCTCCACGTCAGCTTCAAGGGGGCTCAGCCTGGGGCTGGAGGCGGCTCAGACAGGCCTGGTTCTCCAACCACCAGGAGGCGGAGTTGAGGCTGCTGCCTAGCCCTCCGGTGCTCAGGAGACCTCAGGAGATGTCCCGTGTCAGCAGCGGTCCAAGAAGCCTGACTCCTGAGCGAGAAAGCAGCGGGGAAACAGGCACCATGTTTATCACCAAAGAACCTGGCCTCGAGGGCAGACTTAGGACAAAGGCAGAAGGCAGGCCAGTGCCGTCCTGTGGGGAGGAGGCACTGCCTGCTGGGCCCCAGACTTTGGTTCGGTGTCTACTTCATGTTGAGGCAAAGAAGTGCCCAGGCCTCAGAGGGAGCGGTGGTGAGGGCTGACCCCTTGGTGGGTCCTGCTTGGTGACAGAGGTACCATGGAAAATACTGGAACCCAGTGAGTGTCCACAAAAGTGATCCATAATGACAATGACCTTCGTCCCTGTTCCAAAGATGAAGGCAGTGAAAAGTGGGCAAATGTGCCTCAGAGTGCAGGAGCCGTATCTTCTCCCTCCTGGCCTGGGTCCCTTCCTCCTGCAGCACCGGGCTCCTGGGGAAGGAGTCAGGTCAGCAGGCCCCGGAGCAACGGGAGCCTCAGTGGTCCTCCCGCCTCCTGTCAGCCCCGCAGCTGCTGTGTGGGCCTTAGATTCAGGTCACTCCTGCTCACTTCCCCTTGCTGTAACCCACAGAGAGGAACCGAGTTTTAAGATAAAAATACCAGCCCTGGCCGGTTTGGCTCAGCGGTTAGAGCGTCGGCCTGCGGTCTGGAGAGACCCGGGTTCGGTTCCCGCTAAGGGCACGCACTTCGGTTGCAGTTTGTCCTCGGCCCTGGTTGGTCGTGCGGGTGGCAGCCACTCGATGTGTCCCTTTCACATCGATGTTTCTCTCTCTCTCCCTTCCTCTCTCTCCCTCCCACTCTATCTGTACAAAAAATGGAAAAATACCCTCGGGTGAAGATAAAAATACCAGCTCCCCACCCCGTCCCCCAGTCCAGATGGCGTGAGAGTAGGTATTTCTTCAGCTGGGAGGAGGGTCTTTTTGTATGTGTTAAATACTTCACAACCGAACAACCTTGGAAGGGGACATTAGGATGCACACAGGTGTGAATGTGAATGTGATCAGAGACCCACTTCCGCCTCGAGCTCCCACCCAGGGTCTCGGGTGAGCCTCGGCACCTGGAACCCACTTTTTTATTTGAGAAATGGGCAACAAAAGTACCCTAGGCGGCTGGTAATGCCTGGCAGCATCCACTGCCCTGGGAGCCCCATGGGCTGGCCCGAGGGTGACTCCACAGGGTGGGTGTATAGATCACCCCTTCTTGATCCTTTCACAGTTGACCCACCTGGAATTTTAATGACCAGCAGGCCTGATTTCACCTCTTTTCAGGACAGGACTGGAGATTCCCACTTCAGCCCAAATCCCATGAGGCCTGTGCCACCTGAGTGAGGCCCAGTGTGGGCACAAACATGGGACCCCTCGTGGTCTCTGCTCTCTGGGGTCCCCACCCGATGCCCCAGCTCCTGCGTTTGCAGGTCTTCATGATTCGTCTTGGTGTCTGTGCATCCATCTTTTCACCGCCAGATATGCTTCTGAGAGCAGAGGCCGGAGAGCCTGGGCCAGACAGTGCTGCTGGGGACACACCTGGAGGGCTCCAGGCGGGGCTGGGCCTGGGACTGCCTAATGGCTTCAGTGATGGCAGAAACGTCATTTCAAACGGGCCTTGTGGGGCCAGTGATGTGGAAACAGGACCCTCTCTCTGCCGCTTGATGGGCTTGGCATTCAGGAAGCCTAATGATAGTGTCCCGCTTGCGGCACGCGCCCTCCAGTGGCAGAGGGCGCAAAGGGCACGATAGGGAAGTGGAAAGGGTGCCCTGGTGGGGAGTGGGGTGGTGGAGGAGAGAAAATAGAGCCTGACACTTGAGTGGGTGACCAAGGTGCCCACCAAGATTGACTTAATGAGCGTATTGGAGGTTCAGACAGAGGAGCAACAGGTGCAAAGGGCCTGAGGCAGAGAGCCAGAAGTCAGGGGGCTCTCGGGGTGGTGTGTGGGCTGTGGTCGTGATGGGGGACTTTGCCCTGAAGAGGGTGAGAGCCTTGGATGGGGCTGGGCAGGTGAGAGGTCATGGCCACTGGGTGGAGGTGGCCTGGACACAGAGATGCGCAGACACCGAGTAGATGAGGACCAGGAAGGAGCATCTCTGTGGAACTCACACCCTGTACGTGGGCTCCCAGAAGTCACTGTCACAGGAGAGGGTGGCAAGCACATGCTGCGTAGACAGTCGGTACAATGATGCAGGAAAGGCTGACGGAAAACTAAAATGGGTAACAGGGTTCCCTCGGGCGGCAAAAATTCGTTTCTTCTCTGTGTTGTTTGCAATTTCCATAATAGCAACATGTTCTGTAACGGGACCATGGGAGTCGTGCTCCTTCAAGCCTGTGGGAGAGCCTGCTGCCTCCCCCAATCTCGAAACCGGCTCAGCTGTGCTCGTCTCTCAGGTGCTCTGAGGACACTCATGTCAAAAAGAGAAAAACTCCTCAGATTCCATCGAGCCAAGTGGCCACATGTGAACCTCCACCTCCGGAATCTTCGTCTCCCAAGGGAAACAGAACCGCTGGTCCCAGCAGCCCTGACTGGGCCTCACCCCAGGGGAGACTGGGGACCCCAGGCCCAGACCCCTCTGCCCCCACCCCCATGTTCTCAGGTGTCTCCTCTCCCTACCCCAGTGTCACCGACCACGTGGTGGGATGAAGTGATACCTGCTCTTTGGGACCCCACTGCACCCCTCGAGCTGGCCGAGTGGCCACCCAGGCAGAGGGCAGGGCTGGAGGCCAAGGACGATGGGCGGGGGCCTGCAGGTCAGAGTCGGGGCTGCGAGGCTGGGGTGGGGGTGAGTGTGAGGACTGCAGTGTGGACAGGGGCTGTGGCACCCATGGACACCCCACAGTGGCAGTCACCTGGATATGCCAACCTCATCCCCAGAGCCCCGGCCCTGGGTGGCATTGTGCCAGCCTGCACACCCTGCCCGTTTTGCAGCCGTGCAAGGCAGATGGCCAGTAGGTGCTGACCCCTCTCTGGCCTCCCTGAGGAAAGCCTAGCCTCTCAGGGAAGGTCTTACCCTCCCCAGACCCTGCCCCTGTGTCCCCAGCCGCACCCAGGCCAGGCCCTCTGTCTGCTCCTGAGCCCCCGTCCTGACTTGACAACCATCAGTGCCACTCAGCATGACCCCATCTCCGGGGGGGAGGAAGGAAGGGAGAGGCTCTGCCCACCCACGGTCCAGGCCCAGCGGCCTCAGCTTCAGTCCTCACGGTCCCTGCACGCCCTCTCCCTCCCCACTCCACTCAGGGCCCAGCTCAAGTCCGCCTTCCAAACCCAAGGGTCTTCACACACACAGGCTCACGCTCCCTCCCCCTGCCCATGGTCCCCGCTGCTCTGACCCTCCAGGCTGGACATGCAGGGGGCCTGCCCGTCCTCAGCCCTGGCAGCTGGGATGGACAGCCCACGCTCAGTCCCTGCCCCAGATCCTGGGTCCACTGAGCCTTCCCAGCCCCCACCCAACTCAGGGCAGCGAGCCCATGTGGTCCACCTGGCTGGGGCTTCCTGGGGTGATGGCACCCCACGGTCTCCACCAGCCTAACTGGGCCAGGTGGCTTCTCCGTCCACTAGAACAGTGGGAAAGGGTCGCCTCACAGGCACCTTGAGCCTGGAGGATGTTACCTCTGACCCTGGCTGGCTCTTGTCCTTGGGAATCAAGCTCACCCTGCCAGCCTGAGTCCCGGCTTCCTCATTAGCAAAGTTGGAGAGTTGAGACCAGGGCCCCCCAGGCCCGGCCAGCACTGATATGGGCAGGGGTTGGCCGG